AAAGCCCCAGGCGGACGTTACTGATCCATAGACCTCGGCCCACTTGCTCTAAGCTAGCTTCACCCCTAATGATGAAGGTGCCCTTTGTTAATGTATCCTACTGCCAGTAGTTAGTTTTCATAAGGAGACCCCAAGATTAACAGGGCAAAAGGGTACTACTGGAGAAGCTACTAAGGAAAGGAAATGTTAAGGTTTCTGAATGGTTATTACACGGTTTTTTGGGTTTAGGACTTAGGTTAAGTATAGGGCCTTGATTGTTATTGGAACAGGGGCTCCTTTAGATGGGTCTGTAAGTTCGAACGGGCCCCTTCGAAGGGTCTATAACGGGTTCCACTATGGGGGATTACACTAGGAGTTAAGATTAGGGGGACCCTTGGGGATATAGACCCTCTCAGTAAGGCCCCTTTTAAGAGAGGCATAAGTAGGGTTAAGAAGGGTCCCCTTTAAGGTGTCTCCCTGATACCACCTGGGATACAGAAGCCTCAAAGACTAGACCAAGGGTTGGGTATCTTCACTTCTATGAAGGAACCCCAAGGCAGAGCATTCAGGGCGTCGGTCAATCATGAACCCCTAAACACAGAAAGACCCTAAACCCCGAAACCTAAACCCAAAAAGCCTGAACCGCAAAACCCTAAACTACAAAAACTTCAACCCAAACAACCTTAAAACTCAAAAGCCTGACGATATAAACCCCTGCAGACCGCATAAAGGCACCTACCATAGGGGCGGTGTCAAGATCAGAATAGGTTTTTGGTGGGATTAGAGTTTCACTAAAAGGAACTGAGGAATATATGGAAGGCTTCCGAAAATAGGGGACCCCAATACAGTACCTTAAATAGTATTATCCTTATTATAAGGACCCCCAAATAAGGTACCCCCAATTTTCGGAAACCCCCATATCGACAATCATTGAAGCTTCTTGTTTTCATCCACCGAGGGGCTAGGATCCTCGGTGCTCCGAACCATATCCTGGCTCTTCGCGGATTTAGGGTTTAAAGTTCAGGGTTTAGGGTTTACTTGGAGGCCCTTTTGACTTAGTAAGTAGGGTTAGTAAGGTGGGCTATGGGGATTATAATAGGGTTTCTACGGGATACTAAGTAGACTTACTAAGTCAAAAGGGCCCCCAAGTAGGGTTCAGGGTTTAGAGTTCAGGGTTTGAGGTTTAGGGTTTAGTGTTCAGGGTTTAGAGTTTAGGGTTGGGTTCAGGGTTTTAGGTTCAGGGGTCCGGGTTGAGGGTCCAACCCTGAGTGATATGTAGGCTTCTAAGCGTGGGCTGTTGGAGTCTTCAGCCGCAGTTTGGGTTTTGGGGTTTGGGTTTCAAGATGTTGAATCTTGGTATCTCAGGGTGCTGGGCTTAAGTCGGGGATAGGTCGTGGATGTCCTGGCAGGGACTGAAACTCTAAACTTCGACCTGACCTAGAAAGCAAGTTGCCAGGGACGATTTTATCGCGCTTCATGGCAACCTACCATCAGTCAACGGGGAACAGGAGGGACCCTTAATGGGGACCCCTACCCTATCATGGGCTGTATAATGGGTATATAATAGTTATACTAATGGTATATACCTAGGGGTCCTCATTAAGGATCCGTCCTTTTACCCTTGGAATCAGAGGACATTGGAGGCAAACGATGTGCACAGGCTTTGCACAAACCTGGCTTGCAGGGAAACCACACTCGCGCTTTTTATGCCAACATGTAGAGTTGAAGGACCTATAACAGTCTGCTCAGTCTAAGCCCAGTCCTAGACCACGAACCCTCAGCGTAAAGCCTCAGCCATAGTCAAGGGGGCATTAATACTTAGGTAAACTATACCATCAAGAGGGAACGATGCGGAACAAGTGTGACTATTTTCAGGCCGCCTTAACCATACTGGCGAGTTTACATTCTCGCTGAACGGGACTAGCCACACAACCCTGCATCACATACTCTCACCACGATTGCCTGAAAACGCTGTTGGGTCAACCCTGCAAAAACTCAGAAAGGATACCCGCAACAACTCTTGATGAACCCCCCAAGAGCCTATTGCAAAAAATCTTCCAAAAACAACACCCCCCCCCGGCCATAGTATCCCTTATAATACCCCTTACAGTAATCCTTACAGACCCTTTAAATGGAACCCAATGGAACCCTGAAACAAGACCCCCCCTCTCAACCAAAAGAAAAAGCGAGGCTCAAAAAATCTTTCTAAAACCAACACCCTAAACCCTAAACCCCTAAACCCTAACCCCTAACCCCTAAACCCTAAACCCCTAAACCCCAAACCCCTAAACCCTAAACCCCTAAACCCCTAAACCCCTAACCCCTAAACCCCTAAACCCCTAAACCCCTAACCCCTAACCCCTAAACCCTAAACCCAAACCCCTAAACCCTAAACCCTAAACCCCTAAACCCCTAAACCCTAAACCTCTAAACCCCAAACCCCTAAACCCTAAACCCCTAAACCCCTAAACCCCTAAACCCTAAACCCCTAAACCCCTAAACCCTAAACCCCTAAACCCCTAAACCCTAAACCCTAAACCCCTAAACCCCTAAACCCCTAAACCCCTAAACCCTAAACCCTAAACCCCTAAACCCCTAAAACCCTAAACCCTAAACCCTAAACCCCTAAACCCTAAACCCTAAACCATCCCCCCCCAACCAAAGGAAAAAGCGGAGCTCCTGGAACTTCCAAGAACTCCAGGAGCCCACCACGGCCTCTGGCAGAGAAGAGCAGGGTTTGAGGGGGTTTCTTAGGGTTTCTTAGGGTTTCTTAGGTTTTCTTAGGGCTTCTTAGGGTTTCTTAGGGTTTCTTAGGGTTCCTTTGTCAGGGTACCATAAGGTTTATAGGGTTTAGGGTTTAGTTTTTAGGGTTTAGGGTTTAGGGTTTCTTAGGGTTCCTTTGTAAGGGTACCATAAGGGTTCCTTGAAGTGATCTATAGCAAAGAAGAGCAGGGTTTGAGGGGGGTTCTTTAGGCCCAGACCTTCCAAAATCCCGTAATTAAGGAATGTAGCTTAAATTAGAATAGAATCCCCAGTATGAATTATATTCCTTAATTAAGGGGTTTTGGAAGGTCTGGGGGGTTCCTTTGTCAGGGTACCATAAGGCCATAAGGCTTCCACAAAAGGGATCTGTAGGGTTTAGGGTTGCGAAGAGTAGCTTTTCGTGGGAGTGTTTCCGAACGCAGTTCTTTACGGTTTAGGGCTTTAGGTTCGGGGCTTTCGGGTTTCAGGGTAGAGGGTTTAAGGTGTAGGAGTTTAGGGGTTCAGGGTTTAGGGCTTTACGGGTACGGGCTCTGGGGATTAGGGATAGGGTTTTAGGGTTCAGGCGTTTAGGGCTTTGGGCTTGGGGTTGTAGCATTCTTGAGTTTGGGGTTTGGGAGGGGTTTGGGTTTAGGGTTCCCATGGAGGGCTTGACAAAGGTTTTAGAGAACTTAAGCTGCTTGATGCGGATTTGTGGGGTGTTATCCCCGGTTGTATCTAACGGATCCTTGGTGTTCCGTTTATCCGTTTGGGGTGCCTTTAAGGATTGGGCCTTGAAGGAAAAACTCTCGCCCGTCACACCGGCACCGCCCTGTGTATTTGGGTCGAATGCGGGGGCACTCGATCATCTTACACAGGGTGTGGAGGCGGGCCTTTGACTCCACTACCCCTTATGAAGGAAGGAACCCCTAAATCCCAAATTGCGTAAGATGTACGCCCTTAACCCGAAGCCCTAAATTATGCGGCTTCTTACTGTGGTCTAGAGGGATGCTCCCCATATGGGGTTTCGGAGTTACTGCCTGCCAAAGCAACCCGTCATAAACCTCCTTTAAACATATCAGGACACAACAACCGCATGAAAGTCTTCCAAATCTTATACAACCGTCTGGAACTATAATCCCCGCAAGCTCTAACTGGAAGAAAAAGACGAGATAGCCCGGCATAATGGTGGTTGAAGTCGGTGACGATGCCCTTGAGGAGCCGCGCAGGGGAAGTACCTGTGTCAGCAGTTTGGCGTGTATGCTGGCTTAATTGTCCAGTATCTTAGGGGAACTAAAGGGGTTATAGTACGCCCACTGCAATACATGGGCCCTCATGGTGGTTTTAGAAGTTGCTACGACAAGCCTTCAGGTTTTACGTGCGTTGGATTTGACTCGCTTGAGAGAGGGGCTGACAGGGCGCCGTGTAGATGTCCCGCGAGGGGGATGATACTCCTCCATTGTACAAGAAACACAGACTCCTAGTCTGGATGCCTGTCTGTGCAAGGTGGCACACCGTGTCGACTGTCGGGTTTAGGGTTTAGGGTTTATGGCTTTAGGGGGTTTAGGGGTTTAGGGTTTTCAGGGGTTTCGGGTCAAACTGCTCCTCCTCCTGTGCACAGCAAAGTGCTGCCAGGATATCAGCGTTCAGGGCCAACTGCTTGGAGGGTCGGGGGACTTAGTAAGTAGGTAGCGAGTAGACTTATAAGTACCCTAAAAGGGACCCTAATTGGGGTTATGGCACTTATAAGTCCCTAAAATAACCAGTTACTAAGTCCCCCGACCCTCCAAGTGATGACGGAGGATAATTTAGGGGCCTTAATCATGACAATAAGGTTTTTGGGGCCCATTATACGGTATCTATACTAAGGCACCCCTAAAGTTCTATAGGTAAAAGAAGGCTCCTAGATAAATTGAAGCTTGCCCTCTGCAGCTGGTGGCTGTGGATCCATCTCTTGCTCTTACATTTAAAACTTGTGTGTGGTCGGGGTTCACTGAGAGTAGCATGCAAGCTTGAGCCACAGGGCTAAACCCTACACCCTAAACCTAGTTCATTGTTGGGATAGGATTAAAAATGTACATTTTTATTCCTTACTGGGTTTAAGTACCCATAAAAATGTAAAATGTTACCCAACAGTGACAAAGAAACCCTTTAGGGTTTCGGGCCTATGCTTCAAGGATTGAAGGTCTTAGTACCCCCTGCAGGATGACGAGGCAAACCCTCTGCGAAGTGTTCTACAGGTACCTACGCAGAACCCCCAAAAGCCTTTGACTGTGGAGTAATGGCTTAGAGACCCTGAACCCTAAATTGAAAACCATGATGCCATGAAACCTTGATGTAGACCCGAGGTTTACGCTTCACCCCAAAACCAAGTTCACACCCCCGAGTTCCTTAGCCTGCGCGTTTGTCAGGGTACCAGCCTTCCAACGACCGTAGATCACCTCGATGCTACATCCAGCATCCTGTCCACCAAGTCCTGTTGGCGCCAGCCAAGAATGAGTATGATCCTGCTTGACCCTGAGCGCTGAATCCACTCCCCTGCATCCTTGTCGCCGCCGCTGAGGACTAGACAGCCCCCGCTTTCGCGAAGGCTGTCCTGATCGCCTCTGGCGATGGTCATCAATTCCCAGGAGGGTAGCTTGACGGCACGAATATGGATTGTGTGCTGGCCTCCGTCTGAACCAGACAACCAGGGTAATCTGAGGGGTTCCTGCGGACCAGTTTTTCGGTCCATGCCATGATTGTCTCTTCGACTTTCTGCACTCCCACCTGAATGCTCCCCGCAGTTCGAGGCGATCGCGCGCTCGGTGACACTGAGGGGACTCTTCCAGCCTCGAACAAGAAGCTTGTGACCCCAGCCGTAGTTCCTGCGACTGAGTTCTGCGAAGGATTCTTGATTGAGAACTCTGTGGAGAGGGAAGCTCTCATGATGCTCTTCGCAGCAGAGGTGGCTTTCTGTAGGCCTTTGTGGATACCCTTCTCGGAATTTCCATGTAATGCCCTGGCGGATGTCCCGCCGTACGTCATGAGGATTCCGGCACTGAGTGCCGCCGAGATCGGCACTGTCTGCCCTTTTATCCACTGTGAGATGACAGGGGTTTAGAACTTGGGGCTTAGGGTTTGGGGTTGAGGGTTTTGGGTTTAGGGTTTAGGGTGTAGGGGTTGGGGTTTAGGACTTGGGGTTTAGGGTTTAGGGTTTGGGGTTGAGCCGTAGGGGTAAAGGTGTAGGGTTTACAGTCTTTGTCGGCATGAGTTGGCTTAGGATCTGCGCTTCAGGGTTTAAGGTTTTGAGCTCAGGGTTTCGGGTTTTAGCTCCGGATGTGGGTTTTGGTTCCTTCCGGGTTCTAGAAAATTTAAGCGAGTTGCATTAGCGTTTACAAAATTTCATCGGGATTCAGAATCAACCTTCGGGGGTTGCTCAGGTGTTCCTCTCCTGCGTGTGTTGCCCCTACTTGGAGGTTCTCGGGTATTTTGAAGCGGTCATGCGTCCTCAAGTATGAAAACTAAGCCCGAAACCCCTCCGCGCTGTTAAACCTAAGACCGCAAATGCAACAAGCCTCCAATTCCCCGTCAGTAAGCCGACAAAAACCTTGACTTCAAAACAGCTGAACCCTGAAACCTAAACCCCTGAGCAACCAAAGTTGGGTGCCAACCCTTAAATTCGACGGCGCACTGACCATCTCCCATGTCACCACCCTCGGGACGATGCTTTTTTCTGATTTGACTTTCGTTGATGAGGAATAAACTGTAGGGGCTGAAAAGGAAAGAAGAGAAACGTTTAGGACCTGAGAATCGCAATTTGGCAACTAAGGTTTAATTTGGGGGGAAGTGTTGGGGGGGGCGAGAGGGCTAATATTGCTTGGGGTATATACGAGGTACAGAATATACTGTAATACTTATAGCAATAATGGCTACAGTGTTTTTATTTGTTCCGACACTATATTAGGGTTCGGGTCGGGGTGCGGCAAGGTCCCTCCGCATTCCCCCAGAGAGTATGAAAAGGGGTAGCCTTGCTTTGCCCATTATTCGGTTGCTATTAAGGAGACCCTAAAATAAAACGTGGCATAATAGTGCTTCAGAGAGACCCGGTTTTAGAAACTTTATAGAACCGTACTACAAAGCCTTGCATGCCCTGTAGAACCCTTATAGAAAAAACCCTGAACAAACACATGAGGGTCCTAAGCCCAAGAGCCTAATGCCGAAAAGCAGTGTCCCTTATCGAGAACCCAAAAGCAAACTCTCGCCAATACTACGGGGTTTGTGCGCAGTAAAGTAAACCCTAAAACCAGCCCTGCCGCGTATGTGTTGAAGCTTTCCGCTATCGACCAAGCATAAACTTTTAAACACTGAAAGGCCTAAATCGAACAAACCTTGAACCCTAAAAGCCCAAAACCCTGAACCCTCAAAGCATTAAATCCCAAATCCTAAGAAGCCCTAAACCGCAAATCCTAAACCCCGATACTTGAAGCTTCTGAGGCACTCATACAACCCAAACTATGTAAAGCCCTGAACATGCCTAAATTCCTCCTAAATCCGAGACCCGTAAACCCCTAAACCCTAAACCCTACAGTAGAAGCCAGAAAGTTGGAATATCATTATCGTAACCCCTTTAAGGTAAATTATAGGGGATCCTACCCTGAAACCATATTCCAACTTTCTGGAGTTCCCTTTAAACCCTAACCCCGGAACCAAGACCTTCCAATGATTAGGGAATGTACCTTAAATCACATTGGAGATGCTACTATAAGCTAAGGTATGTTTCTTTAACTAGGGGACATTGACGCCGAAATCTAGACCTTCCAATATCCCATAGTTAAAGAATATAACTTAAATCACATTAGGGATGCTACTATCATCTAAGGCATATTCTTTAATAAGGGGATATAGCGGAAGGTCTGAGAACACCTGGCGGTCGATCGCAATCAAACCTCAAAGCTGGATACGGGATCCCCATCCAATCCTCTAAACGCCGATACCCAGACCTTTCCTTAGGGTTTCTTAGACCTTTGTCAGGGTACCATAAGGGTTCCTTTAAGGGATCTATAGGGTTTAGGGCTTAGGGTTGAGAAGAGTAGGCCCAGACCTTCCAAAATCCCTTAATTAAGGAATATACCTTAATTCATAATAGGATCCCTAATTTAATTTAAGGTATATTCCTTAATTAAGGGGTTTTGGAAGGTCTGGGCCCTCTAAACGCCGATACAAGCCGCCCAAAGAATCTAATGCAGGGGCCTTAATAGTTAGAATAGGGTTTTGGGGCATATTACATTAGAACTACAAAACAAGAACTCCCAAAACCCTATTCTGATTATTAAGGCCCTTATATTAAAACCCTGAAGGGACCAACACCCGAACCAGAAGCTTAAACCCTGCACGCAGAGACTCCAATATCCAGTAATTAAGGAATATACCTTAAAATATAGTGGATCTAATAAGACTTAAGGAAGGGCACCCGGGAACCAGGCCTGTATTCCCCGCGCTCCCAGGTGAAGCCCCACTGCAGCTTGACCAAGTACATGGCGCCAGCACCAGCGCCCTAAGATGATGAGGTCTCAGGGTTCCTTTATTTAAAGGGTACTACAAGGGCTCCTGTAAGGGATCTATAGGTTTTAGTTTAGGGTTTAGGGGTTTAGGTGATAATGTTGGGTTTAGGATTCATTGGCCGTTCCAGAGACCCTGTGAAAAAGTTCTAAGTTACTAGATCCTTCTCCTTCTTCGCCTGAACATTACCCAAAAACCTAAACCCCAAACCCCAAACTCACACCCTAAACCGGAATACGCGCTTCGCTTTAGCGGTTGAAGGGTTCTCCACAAACGTGTTGGGATAAAGGGTAGTGGGGCTGAGGGGTTTCGGGGTTTGGGCTGTAGGGATTTCCAAGATTCAAGCAAACGCTGAGACAAGCATCCTGGTAAAGATCTACAAGGCATCCGAGATTCGCAGGAGAGTGCAATCGTCTCGGTACTGAGCCGCTGTGTTCACCAACCCTTCAGAAAACCACTCCACCCACACGGTCACCCTCAATCCTAAACCCTAAACCCTAAACCCCAACCTAAACCCTAAACCCCAAACCCCAAACCCCAAACCCTGAACCCTAAACCCCAACCTAAACCCAAACCCCAAAACCCCTCCTAAACTTCTGATCCCGGAGTGAGCCCCCCTGAACCCTAAACACCTAAACCCCTGAACCCCTAAACCCCTAGACCCTGAAACCCCAAACCCCGAGACCCCTAAACCCCAAACCCTAAACCCCTAAACCCCTAAACGACTAGACCCCTAGACCCCTACACCCCTAAACCCCTAAACCCCTAGACCCCCCTAGACCCCTGAACCCCAAGACCCCAAAACCCTAAACCAAGACCCACAAACACTTTAACCCGCAAGTCTCAAATGCAAGCTCGCGGTCTGGTTCTATGAAGAAAAAGGGTTTAGGGGTCTAGGGGTTAAGGGGTCTAGGGGTTTAGGGGTTAGGGGAGTTTAGGGGTTTAGAGTTTAGTGGTTTAGAGTTTATGAGTTTAGGGGTTTAGGGTGTAGGGTTCAGGGGTTTAGGGGTTTAGAGTTTAGGTTGCCTGCACTCTGAATGGCGTTGTCCCTTCCGCATTGGCCTCCAGCACGGAGACTGTCCGTTTTGAGCTGCGACAAACACATGGCACCATCTTCCAAGGCCTTGTCCTTGTCCACATTCGTTTCCAACAACAGCCGTACGAACTCTATGCTCTATGACTCTATGCCATCAGTGCTGAGCTGCGACGGAGTACGGCGGCGCAACTATGGTTTGCCTTTTGTTCTTTATTTGCGCAGAAGCCGCACAACCTCCAAATGTCGATTCTGAGCTGCGATGAACATAGGGGTAGCACCATTTTGATTGGCCTTGTCCTTGTCCGCATTGGCCTTCAGCAGAAGCCGCACCACCTCCAAATGTCCACTCTGAGCTGCGATGAACAAAGGGGTGGTGCCATCTTCCAAGGCCTTGTCCCCGTCCGCATTGGCCTCCAGCAGAAGCCGTACAACCTGCGACTGTCCATTCCCTGCTGCGGTGAACAAAGGGGTGGTGCCATCTTCCAAAGCCTTGTCCTTGTCCACATTCGCCTCCAGCAGAAGCCGTACAACCTCCAGCTGTCCGTTATGAGCTGCGATGAACAAAGGGGTGACGCCATTATGTTTGGCCTTGTCCTTTTCGGCATTGGCCTCCAGCAGAAGCCGTACAACCTCCAAGTGACCTTTCTCAGCTGCAATGTACAAAGCGGTGGTGCCATCCTGAATGGCCTTGTCCTTGTCCGCATTGGCCTCCAGCAGAAGCCGTACAACCTGCGACTGTCCATTCTCAGCTGCGATGTACAAAGGGGTGGCGCCATGCTGAGTGGCCTTGTCCTTGTCCGCATTGGCCTCCAGCAGAAGCCGTACAACCTGCGACTGTCCATTCTTAGCTGCGATGAACAAAGGGGTGACGCCATTATGTTTGGCTTTGTCCTTGTCCGCATTGGCCTCCAGCAGAAGCCGTGCAACCTCCAACTGCCCGTTATGAGCTGCGATGAACAAAGGGGTGGCACCATCCTGTTTGGCCTTGTCCTTGTCCGCATTGGCCTCCAGCAGAAGCCGTACAACCTGCGACTGTCCATTCCCTGCTGCGGTGAATAAAGGGGTGGTGCCATCTTCCAAAGCCTTGTCCTTGTCCACATTCGCCTCCAGCAGAAGCCGTACAACCTCCAACTGTCCAGTCGCTGCTGCGACGAGCAAAGGGGTTTCGCCGTCATCGTTGGCCTTGTCCTTGTCCGCATGGGCCTCCAGCAGAAGCCGTACAACCTCCAACTGTCCCGTCGCTGCTGCGACGAGCAAAGGCGTGCAGCCCTCTTCCGATTTCGAGGCCTTATCCTTGTCCGCACTGGCCTCTAGCAACAAAAGGCGTGTCACCTCGAGGTGGCCGTGCTCAGCTGCCACAAACAGTGGGGTTGGATGACCAATACATACTAAGTCTGGATCCTGCGGCCTTTGGAGAAGATTCTCCACCTCTGAGGTCCGGCCGCTTCTGGCAGCATCCCGAAGCGCTGTCACTTGCATGCTAGATGCTGGGCAGAAGTTTAGAAAAACGACCTGAATTTCGCCGGCTCTCAGGGAGTGATCGTCATCTAAAACCGCACCGTCACCCAAATGCAACAGCCTTTGCCTGAACCTTGACAGCCCGCATATGCTGTTCAAGTGCTGCTTCAATGCCCGAACTGGACACACGTCTGCAGGAAGCGTCTCGTGAAAGCTCGCCAGATCAAGGCTAAGGAGTCCTTCACCTGACACTGTCTGAATACGCAGCATGTCTGGCGCTGAGCGGAAGGGACTCAAACGCCCTAAACCCTAAACCCTAAACCCTAAACCCTGAACCCCTAAACGGTGAGGCCCTGGACTGGACTGTCAATCCCCCAAACTTGAAAACATACATTGAAGATGGTTTGTGCTGAGATTCCGCTGGGTTCAGGGTTTAGGGTTTAGGGTTTAGTGCGGAAACTTCCTGGCTCCGACCCTATGGGGACTGCGAGCCAATAGGATTTGGCGATTGGCTGCCAGAAAAAGGGCAAGGTCATGTGGTAGTAGTAGTAGTAGTAGTAGTAGTAGTAGTAGTAGTAGTAGTAGTAGTAGTAGTAGTAGCAGTAGTCGTCGTCGTCGTAGTAGTAGTAGTAGTGGTAGTAGTGGTAGTAGTAGTAGTAGTAGTAGTAGTAGTAGTAGTAGTAGTAGTAGTAGTAGTAGTAGTAGTAGTGGTAGTAGTAGCAGCAGTAGCAGTAGCAGCAGTAGTAGTAGCAGGCGTAGGAGTAGGAGTAGGAGTGGGAGTAACCGTAGGAGTAGGAGTAGGAGTAGGAGTAGCTGTAGCTGTAGAGCTGCAGCAGTCGTAGTCGTCGTCGTAGTCGTAGTAGAAGTCGTAGCAGTAGTAGTAGTAGTAGTAGTAGTAGTAGTAGTAGTAGTAGTAGTAGTAGTAGTAGTAGTAGTAGTAGTAGTAGTAGTAGTAGTAGTAGTGGTATTAGTAGCAGTAGCAGTAGCAGTAGTAGTCGTCGTCGTCGTCGTCGCAGTCGCGGTCGCAGTCGCACTCGCGGTCACGGCTACGGTCGCAGTCGGAGTAGTAGTAGCAGTAGTAGTAGTAGCAGCAGCAGCAGGAGTAGTATTCTCGGAAGCTGTATCTGACGCCGAGTTTTCGTGGCGCTTGGGAAGGGTGTTCTTTGCGGCGTTTTCGGGCTTCCAGGTAGAGCAATTACAAGTCTAGAGTTTGAGCGTTTTGGAGGATTTACAGATGCATGCATTCATCAGGTGGCAATTTTATGGTTCAAGCAACCATCAAAGGGTAAAAGGAGGGACCCCTAATAAGGACCCCTAGGTATATACCCTTAATATAGCCATTATATAATTATATACCCATTATATAGCCCATTAAAGGCTAGGGGTCCCCCTTAAGGGTCCCTCCTATTCCCCTTGGAAACCATGAGGCTGATGATAATGAGTCTGTAATTGTCTGTTCCGTGGCCCTGGGGAAGGGCTGTCATCGGCGTGTACGGTGTTTTCGGCTTCCAGGTAGAGCAATCACGAGGGTAGCAATTTCAGGGTTTTGGTTTTGCAGAAAACCCTAAACCCTAAACCCTAAACCCTATGGTTCGAGCAGCCATGGGTCTGATGGTAATGACGCTGTAGTTGTAGGTACGTCATCATCCCCCCAACCCACCCACCCCCCGTAACACAAGTACGAACAATTACCTGCGAGAGTTTGTCGTGGAATATGCTCAAACCACATGACTAAGATAATCTGGGCTCGAGACTTTTAATCTCATTGCAAAATGCGCTGAAACCACATGCATAAGGCCGCCAAGTGAGGAAAAGAAGAGCATCAGATAAACAATCCTTGCCAGCAGCAGTGGCAGTGGCAGTGGCCGTGGCCGTGGCAGTGGCCGTGGCCGTGGCCGTGGCAGTGGCAGTGGCAGTCGGAGTCGGAGTCGGAGTCGGAGTCGGAGTCGGAGTCGGAGTAGTGGTAGTGGTAGTGGTAGTGGTAGTGGTAGTGGTGGTGGTAGTGGTAGTGGTAGTGGTAGTGGTAGTGGTAGTGGTAGTGGTAGTGGTAGTGGTAGTGGTAGTGGTAGTGGTAGTGGTAGTGGTAGTGGTAGTGGTAGTGTGAGTGTGAGTGGGAGTGGGAGTGGCAGTGGCAGTGGGAGTGGCAGTGGCAGGGAGTGGGAGTGGGAGTGGGAGTGGTAGTCGTAGTCGTAGTCGTAGTCGTAGTCGTAGTCGTAGTCGTAGTGTCGTCGTCGTAGTAGTAGTAGTAGTAGCAGTAACAGTAGCAGTAGTGGTGACGGTAGTAGTCACAGTAATTGTAGCAATGGTAGCAACAGTTGTAATGGTAGTATTAGTAGCAATTTGTGACAGTAATAGTAACAGTAGTAATAGTAGTAACAGTGATACTACTAGTAATACTAGTTGTTGTTTTGCAACAATACTAGTTGCACCAGGAGGAAAAGCTCCACGGCCCCGGCATCTTTCTTGCCGTCGATCAGCCAGCTTGCAGCCTGCTTTCCGCTGATGGTTTAGCAAAGGTTCACGGCATCTCTTTTGAGGGCCCTTTGCCAATTGGACTGAACCTTCGAGCTCAGGGTTTTAGTTTAGATGAATTTAGGGTTCTGAGTTTGGGGTTAGGGCCCTGTAGACTGTATGGTACGGTGCCAGGTTGCAAGGTGTGGGGTCACGGATTCCGGCTTGCACACTGAACCCTACGCCCGAAGCTTTACATAATTCTATATCTACATATAATATGTGTATGTATATATATATATATATATATACATAAAGTGGGTATGTGTATATATATATATATATATGTCGTGTAATCAATCATGTATACCTTGGTTACCTGTTTACTCATCCAACGAAGGCGGAAAGGTTCTTTCCCTTGCGCTGGCGGTCTCCCGTGTCCTTTGCTCTCTTTCTGGTTGCAAACCCTGCAAACTGCAGCATTTGCTCTTGTTTTGCATCAATCTATTGGTGAATTCTAATTTGCAGGGTCCTGTTTTGCCTAAGCTATTGCTTGGAGGATCATGGGACTTAGTAAGTAAGGTTATAAGTACCTTGCCTGGGGTTATAAGTAATTATAAATATAGTTACCTTTTCTACATGCACAATCCCACTTACTAAGTCCCATGATCCTTTAAGTGGTGGATTACGAATTCGAGGCTCCTGTCTTGTGTCAAGTTATTTGGGAACAGCAATTTGCAGGGTCTAGCTTTGCGTCAATCTATTGAAGATTACAGAGACAGACCGTCCCATAACCTGCAGGCCTTGCCCCGCTGGTCCTAGTATGTAAATAGAATAGGGTTTTGGGGGGCTCCTTACTAGAATTCGAGTATAATATACCACCAAGCCCTATTCAAATTATCAAGGCCCCTATACTAAACCCTAAAAGCCCTCATAGTAACCCTTACAGAGCACTCTAGAAGCAACCCTTTAAAGAAATAACGAGGCCTTGCCCCTCTGGTCCTAAACCCTAAACCCTAGCCCTAAACCCTAAACCCTTTAAAAGGAATAACCACGCCTTGCCCCTCTGGTCCGGCCCCACCGCAGGATGCCGGTGGCCCGCCAAAGCTTTGCCAGGGTGCAGGATCTGGTTCGGGTCCTGGCTCCCAGGTTTGGGTGTCCTAGGGTTCCTTTAAAGGGTACTATAAGCGTTCCTCGGTTCCCTAGGGCTCCTTTAAAGGGAACTAAAAGGGTTCCTTTAAGGTTGGGGTTAAGAGTTTAGGGATTTGGAGTTTAGGGTTACGCGTTTAGGGTTCACGGTTTAGGGATTTGGGGTTCAGGGTTTCTATACTGAACTTAGAACCCTAGCAAAAATTATGATTTTAGCTGTTTCTTAGGGATTATAATAACCAAAAATTAAAAATTATTTCTAAGTACCCCTAAGGTTTAAGTTTTGGGGCTCAGGGTTCAGCAGCTTACCGATAGGCCCCATACTAGTTCCTTCTGGGGATTACCTTATAGAACTCTAAACATGAACCCCGAAAAAGAACTACTGTGGGCCCTGTGGGTAGTTCTACAGTTGCACTCCGGACGAACATTATTTTACAGGGCTTCGGCTCCAACTTCGCCCGGGCTTTGTCGACAAACTTTTGGGCCCTGTCCGCGAATTTTGTGGGCCCACGAACTTGTGGGCGTCGTCGGGGAATTCTTGAGCCTTATCCGCGAATATTCAAGCTTTCGAGACTTTCGCGGAGAAGGCAAAAAACTCGCGGAGAAGGCCCAACAATTCGCGGCGGGCAAGGCCCACAATTTTGCCTGGGGCCTGCTCCTCGAATTTTCGGGTCTTGTCTGTGAGTTGCATTATGAGGCTTTGTTTAGAGGGAAAGGTTTAGGGTTCAAGGTGAAGGGTGTAGGGTTAACCCTAAACCCTAAACCCTAAAACCCTAAAACTTAGGTTTAGGGTTTAAGCTTCAGGGCTGGGCATCCTTAAAGGGAAAGCATGTACGCCTTTAAAAGAAGCTTTTAGGGAACCCTTGGAGAACCCCTTAAAGCAACCCTTAATGGCTCCTTTCAGCGCTTTAGGCTTCAGGGTTCTATCTCTAGGGCTAAGTGGTAAAAACATTGTCTATATGTTGGTGAAAGATTCTGGATATCATTCTGGTGAATAATAACACTAGCAACAAGACAAATACTGATAATAATGACAATAATGATACGTAACAATGCTAACAATACTGGTTTAGGGTTTAGGGTGTAGGGTTCAGGGTTTAGGGTTTGCTTTTTGTGTTTTGCTCTAGGCTCTTGGGGTCTTTCGTTCTTTGTTGAAGGGATCTTATCCCCAGGCCTCTAAAAAGACTCTACAGGTACAACCCCGCCAGCCCCTAGGAGATAAGGAAAGCTATCGTCTGAAGCCCATCTTAAGCTGGGCTGTTCAGTGACCAGAGAGAAAAAGTATAAACTTTTATTTCATAATGGGTCCTTTTGAAAAAAGTATTCAAGTATGGTACTAAGCTACAGAACAGTACGTGAAGGATCATGGGACTTAGTAAGTGGGGTTATAAATAAGGCAACTATACTTATAACTACTTATAACCCCAATTAAGGTACTTATAACCTTACTTACTAAGTCCCATGATCCTCCAAGTAGGACTCAGTAATAGTTATACTCATAATATAGATATATTAGGACCTTCATAGTAGCCCTATTATAGACTCTTACTATATAGGGGGCAGTACCTAAAGGATACCATGTTGGGAGGCGCCGCTTTGCAGATCCTGCCGGGAGGTTGGGGAATTTGGAGGCCCCAAAACGTGGGAGGAAGGTAGGTAGGATGAAGGATCCCCTATACAAGGACTCTTACTTGGGGATTGCCCCACCTACCTTCACCTATTTGTTGAGGCCCCTGAGGAATGTGGTGTTGGGTCCTGCGGGTTTAGGCTTCAGCGCGGGACCCAATAGACCTCTACAGAATCCCCTGCCAGGACTCTGCTTGAAAAAGCCCGAAACTTTCTTGCACCCTTAACCCCCAAACCCAGAACCCTAAACTCTTACCTCCAAAGCTCCAAACCTTGAACCTCAAAGCCCTAAACTCTAAACCCCAAGCTCGTACTATAGGGGACTTAATGATTAGAACAGGGTTTTGGGGTAAACTATACCGTGATTATACTGAGCAACCCCCCTGATACTATAGTTAATTTTTTGCGCCCCTATATTAACCCGCAACCCTAAACCCCAAAGCCCAAAACCTCAACCTGTCCTGATTCACCAGCAGTCGGAAGTGCTCGCGGCCTGTAGCAAGCACAAAAACTTACAAACTCGGTTCTTGCTGGGAATTCAAGCTACCATACTCGGGGTCTGGAGTAAATAGTGAGGTTTAGGACTTAGGGTTTGTCTAACAGAATAATAACCTATACTAAGGTTTCTAAGGGTTCTAAGGAAGTCAAGCTACCATACTAAGGTTCTGGGCTTTCTGAGGTTCATGGTTGTCGGAGGGAATCGCAAAACTGGGGGTTAGCTGTTTGGTTCGTAATTAGGAATGGGGGAATGGATTATGAAGGCTAATATCGGGGATTGTATAGGGACTACGATAGGGATCCATGTTCCCCATTCCTCTACAAAGCACCAGACAGTCAAGGAGACCTTCATGTCGTAATTCGCCCGCGCCAGCCCGGTCCAGATCGGATGGTGGGCCAGGCTCAGCTGTTTGCATCGTCGTTTCACGTCCGCTTTACGGGTCGGGCCATGGTGCGGAGGCCGGAATCCCAAAGCACAAAAAGGCCATGCTTTCCCACAGAGGGCGCCTCTGAAACCCACTGGAAAGCTGCTTGAAACCCCGGGCGGAACCCCATGGCTTGTCGAGCTTATGAAGCTCGGATGCCTTGCCATAGGCTTTCTCCACTTTTGCACTCATACTCATAGGTGCAACCTGAAGCCCACACGGGATTTCGCAAAGGCACAACAGCTGGAGGAGGAGTGCTGCTTGTGAAGCCAAGAGAAAGTGGGCAGCGATTTGCTGTCCAGAAAGGGGAGCGGGGGAATTCTCCAAACCTTAAATCCTGAGGGCGCCCTTTTTTCCCTCTTCCTAATATTTCTAAATAATCTTTTTACTAAGGAAACCCCAAAATAGAAAGGGCAAAAGGGTACTACTCAGGAACCTATACAGGTTTTCATCAGTTCTTACAGGGCTAGACTAACCGTCACCTGCCAAGTCACATCTAGGATCCTCTCGGATGTGCTAGTTGTTCTAAACATGTGCCCAAATTAAGCGTAAGGATGTTCTCTCTTTGAAGGGGCCTCCTTCAAAGGAATTGTTCTTGAATTTCCCTAAAACCTAAACCCCAAACCCCGAAACCCTGAACCCACGTCCCAGACGGGTTTGCTGCCCCAAGCCATCCAATACATGCCCTGTGACTTACCTGAATTCCCCTTAGAACCGTAATAAAAATGATATTTTTAATACTCCCCAGTGTTTTATATGAACAAACAGAACAAATAATTCCTAAGGAGACAATAGTTTAGGGTTGGGAGGGTGTTCTGCATCTTGAAGCCTAGGCCTAGGAAAATTGACTCGGTTATCGCCGGCGTCTAGGAGATTGGCCTCAGAGCCTGTGTTGCAGGGTGATGAAGCGTGTTGCTGCAGAATGCCGTCATGTTCTGATCGTCCCATGCCTTCCCCTAGCAGCTCCTAAATCCTGCTCGTATAACTGCAATCAGAAACCAAGTGTCACTTGGGCATTTATGGCCTGCGGACTTATGGCTATGCTTGGGTTTCGATTGCACTGCACTTGTGATTACGTAGTCAATATCCTACACCCTCCACCCCGTGCAAAAAGGCCGCTAAAGAAACACCATTACAAGCCGCTAGCCCAGACGACTCAACTGTAGTCCCATTCCCACCAACTAACGAGTCTGCTATGACGCCGTTACTATGAGCCAAAAACTGTTGAAACCAGTGGTCACTAGGGCCCTCTAGCCCTGAAAAAAACCTGAAAATCTGCGTTGTTGCAATATGGCCGGCCAAAGCAGCACGAAGATACCCAGGTACTCTCGAACCTTCCTAGAACCTCTGAAACTTCAGAAATCTAAATCCAAAACCCCTGGGATCCAAATCCACTGAAAACCCCTAACCAGCGGTTTTGGGGGTTCCCGTGGCTCTTTAGCTCCTTATTTAATAGGGATTATCATCATCCCTGGCTCCTTAGCTCCCATGATATCAATGGTTAGATAAACACAAAATCATTTCGGAAACTCTAAACCCTAAACCCTTATAGATCCCTTTAAGGAACCCTTTAAAGGATCCCTTTATGGTTAGGCTCATAAACCCTAAACCCTAAACCCCTAAAATCCTGTATTCTGGGACCCCGAGGCCCCACGACGTCCCGGCGAGCCTACCTCATTAGTGCGAGGGTTCTTTCCAGCGTTTAGGGTTTAGGGTTTAGGGTTTAGGGTTTAAGGTTTAGGGTTTAGGGTTTAGGGTTTAGGGTTTAGGGTTTAGGGTTTAGGGGTCTATGCAATAATAAAACACTCCGGAACCCAATTTGAGTAATTAAGCTCTGTGTACATATCCCTTGCAGTAACCCTGATAGATCTCTTTCAAGTTTCGCCGAGCCTGTCTCACCCAGCTGGACCACCGTGGAATACTCCCCGAGGATCTCTTTCCTTTGTAGGCAGGACGAAGGCAGGTTTTAGGGTTTAGGTTTTCGGGTTTAGGGTTTAGGTTTTAGGGTTTAGGGTTGAGGTTTTGAGGTTTAGGTGTTATGTTTTTGATAGTTTAGGGCTTAGAAGGAAAAAGGCAGGGCTTTAAAACGGATCTATAATAGGGTTCTATAGCAGGGTTCCCTTAAGGGTTCCCTTTGAGGGTAGGGTTTAGGATTTGGGATACAGGGTTGCTTAGGGTTTAGGAAAAAGGAATCCCAACTTATAGCCGGGGTCCGCAACCCTAAACTGAATACCGCAAACCTGAACAATAATGTAAACCCATCCTTAATGAAGCCCTTTCTCGAAAGGCCTCTGCGGCCCCTACATCCTGAACCAAGACCCCCCTAAAATCCCACACCCTAAAATCAAAACCCACTGCCCAAACCCGTCCATGCCGGAAGCTTCTCAATCCCCAGACCTTGCCAAATCCCTTAATTCAGGAATATCCGTTAAACTATAATAGGGTCTGTAATATGAGTTAAAGTATATTCCTTAATTAAGGGATTTTGGAAGTTCTGGGCATGTCGGAAGCTTCTCAATCCCCAGACCAAGGGATTTTGGAAGTTCTGGGCATGTCGGAAGCTTCTCAATCTTTCGGGATACTGCGCGGAGTGTCTCTTAGCACCGGCTACTTTTGGGGGGCCTGACAAGTCGGATTGAGGGTTCCTTTTGAGGGGGTCTTTCGGGGCTACTATAAGGGCTACTGTAAGGGCTTAGTATAGGAGCCTTCATGATTAGAATAAAGTCCTGGGGCCCACTGTACCATAATTATTAAGAGAAACCCCCAAAATAGAATACGTAGTTATTTAGGCCCGTATATTACAACATCTCAACACCTGGGCTTGGGGTTCTTGCGCCCTCCACTCGCGATGTGTTTTTTTGGTGTACCTGTTGTCCCTGGATTAGCGACTGGTGGCCTCTTGATGGGGTTTAAGGTTCAGAATTTGGGGTATACGGTTTAGGATTTTGGGTTTTGGGTTTAGGGTTTGGATTTAGAGTTTAGGATTTGGGTGTTAAAGTTGAGGGTTACGGGTTTAAGTTTAGGTCTGACCGTTTCGGGCTGCTACCAAAGCGGGTGCTCGTCTCCTGCACCCTCTGCTGAAGCCCTCTCCTGAAGCCTACACCCCAAACCCTAAACTAAACCCTAGACCCCAAACTCTAAACCTTAAACCCCTAAACCCTAAACCCTAAACCCCTAAACCCTAAACCCTAAACCCTAGACCCCAAACTCTAAACCCCTAAACCCCTAAACCCTAAACCCTAAACCCTAGACCCCAAACTCTAAAACTCCAAAGCCCATCTCAAAGCCTTCCGCCGAGCAGCTCCATCTCCCTCATGCCTGTGAAAGCATCCCACGAGCCGGCGATGTAGATCTGCAAGGGACCGTAGGATTTCGGGGTAGGATTTGGGGTGTGGGACCGTAGGATTTGGGATTTGGGACCGTCGGATTTGGGTTTTGGGACTGTAGGATGTGGGGTTTGGGACCGTAGGATTTCGGGTTTGGGACCGTAGGATTTGGGGTTTGGGACTGTAGGGTTTGGGGTTTGGGACCGTAGGACTTGGGGTTTGGGACCGTTGGGGGTTTGGGACCATAGGATTTGGGATTTGGGACCGTAGGATTTGGGATTTGGGACGGTAGAATTTGGGGTTTGGGGGTTTACGGGTTTAGGAGTTGAGGGTTTAGGGTCTCGAGCTTAGGGTTTAGGGCTTAGGGTTTAATGCTTGGGGTAGAGTCTTTAGGGTTAGGGTTTAGGGTTTCGGGTTTAGGGTTTTACAATTTCGAGCCCAACCTTCAATGGACTACAGCCAAACCTCTGAACTTAACAAGCTTCGGCATACTGAACTTGGTACCTTTGCAAAAACACTCATGTAAGCTGTTTCTTAAGGACCAGTAACGAAATTCAAGAACTTGTTCCAAGTACGTGCCCGTAAGTTACATCCAAAGCTGTCGACTGAAAAAGCCCCTGGGTTTAGGGTTTAAAGTTTAAGGTTTAGGGATTCAGGCTTTACTTGGAGGGTCGGGGGACTTAGTAACTGGTTATTTTAGGGACTTATAAGTACCATAACCCCAATTAGGGTCCCTTTTATTTTAGGGTACTTATAAGTCTACTTACTACCTACGTACTTACTAAGTCCCCCGACCCTCCAAGCATAGACCGTGGCCGACACGTGACGCAAGGCATGTGGCCAGTGTTAGTAAGCCTCCCAAAGCCCACATTCCAAGTGTAAAAGGAGGGACCCTTAATAAGGACCCCTAGGTATATACCCATAATATAGCCATTATATACCCAGTATATAGCCCCATTATAGGGACCCAGGGGTCCCCATTAAGGGTCCCTCCTTTTCCCCTTTTGACACATGGGGGATTCGCGCTTCTCGGCTCTATGTCTGTGGGCTGTGTGTCCTTATTTGCCGACCCCGGTCCTCTTCGGGAGCTCTTCTCTAATCAAAAAACATACAAGCGCTCTGTTTAAGAACCCTGATAGATCCCTGAAAGGAACCCTCATAGGAGATTGAGTCAAATACACCCAAATCTTTCTAATCCTCTCGCAGATAACCAAAAAAGCATACAAGCCATATAGACTCAGCCCTAACCCTACAATGCTATGCAAAGTGAATCCCGACGGCGTAGGTTCTGGTTGGGATAGCGGTAGGTGAGGTACCGGGGGCAGCTCGCGGCGAACGCTTGCCACAGAGATGCAGATTCCGCCATTTCGGAGCGTTCTAGTGGAAGTTAGTGGCGTGCACGGCTTCTCTGAGTGGCAGCAGCCAATTCCGCCATGTTGCGCGGCAGTTCTGTTGCAGTACGCCGACGGCGTATGCGCCAAACACTTTCATGACCCTGCACAACAGCTGCCCCTCGTACAAGTTCTGGTTGATCGAGAAGCGCTCCTCCACGGACGCCACATCCAATAACAGCAGGCGACGGAAACTTCCTTCCATCAAGCCGAAGTTGTCTGCCTTCCAATCCCAGACCACGACTTCATTCGCGACTAACTTCCCGATCAAGGACAGTGCAGAGATCCGCAGCCGCCCGTGGCACTGGTGCAACCTGTCTGTCGTCTGTCAGGGGTCCTTCCTAATCCTAAACTCCCCTAGCCGTGACCTAAGACCTTCTAACCCTCTAACCCACTAAACCCTAAAACTAAACTCTGAAACTGCCCCCTTTTAGATCTCTTAAACGAATCGTAATAGCCCCTTAAAGGAACCTTTCCCCCACCCTTGGAGGTCCCCTCAGGGTTTAGGTTTTCAGGTATCCAAAAAAACAGTTGTTTAAGGGTTTGGGGCTTACTTGGCGGATCATGGGACTTAGTAATGCTATAAGTGCCTTAATTGGGGTTATAAGTAAGCAAATAAGTATAGTTGCCTTCTTTATAACCCCACTTACTAAGTACCATGATCCTTTAAGTAGACCCTACACCCTAAACCCCAGAGATCCCCTTAAGGAACCCTATAGATCCCTTTAAGGAACCCCTATAGATCCCTTTAAGGAACCCTAGAGATCCCTTTAAAGGAACCCTATAGACCCCTTTAAGGCACCCTATAGATCCCTTTAAGGAACCCTCTAGATCCCTTTGAAGGAGCCCAGCCGATCTCGCCTGATCGCTGGAGTGGGGTCCTGCAGGCGAGATAGCTACGGGAACAACAGGTGGAAAGCCTGGTCCAGGGTTTAGGGTTTAGGGGTTTTTTTAGGGTTTAGGGTTTTTGTTAGGGTTTAGGGTTTAGGGTTTAGGATTTAGGGTTTAGGATTTAGGCTTTAGGGTTTAGGGTTTAGGATTTAGGGTTTAGGGTTTAGGGTGAAATAACTGTTTTAACGGCGTAATTCGGGTTCAGGGCTTTAGGGCTTTAGGGCTTATGGTTTAGGTTCGGGGTGTTGGGGTTTACGGTGTTTACATGCGTCATTATGTGTGGTGTAGAGTGTGAAGTCTGCAAGAGTTTAGGGTTTAGGACCATTACTGCTGTGGCTTGAAAGCTTCAGATTGCCCTGGCTACTTCCGTTCGTTTAGGGTTTAGGGTTTAGGTTTTAGGGTTTAGGGTTTAGGGCTTAGGATTTCTTCACTACACTGAACGCTAAACCCCAAAATACTGAAACCATGCATCCTAACACTCACTAAAACCTATAGTTGTTGTAAGCCACTGCACACACGCACTGTTGTATATACCCGTCCAAGTGTTTACAAGCAGCGCAATACCATTAGGCAACTACGCACTTTTCCTGTAAGAGCACTTGTGCCACAATGCCGTACACACAACATGCTACTTCACACGTGCACAAATTACACCCCCCTCGCCGAAGCGTCAGTCTGAGGCGCAAACATGCACGGAAGCTTGGTGCTGTGTGGCCTGCCGTAAAGGCGGCTGGATTGTGGCTCGGGGCTCATAGGCTTTCTACTACCGTAAAGCGGAAGATACGGAAGCAGATTAATTCTTTTAGCGCGCAGTTTAAAGTCGCGACATGCATTATAAAATGGCGACGATCCAGCAAGCCTTGAATGATGGCGTGGATACGAGTCGCAAGACATGTGCAGCATGGGACGAATACATCATCCACTGGAGCTGCTGACGAATCCCCTCGAGGTCCAAAGACCTGGTGTCGGAGTTGTCACAAAGTGACTGCCAGATGATGCAAGATGAAATTTTTCTGGTCTTAAGGAAATTCGGCCACCTCTAAGAGGGGCTGTATTTCGGAGTACCGGTTAACGTGACGGAACCACGAAATGTGGGTCAGGTACTTAGTACCATCCCCGGGAACCGGAGGAGCGGCCATAGGGGTGGGATCCTCGCTGGTAGCCGCGATCCCATCCCTGCTCCTGGTAGCGCTGCTGCTCTGCTCTGCGGGCATCAGCTTTGGCTTGCGCGATGCGAGAGCGTTCAGCGTTGCGCTGTCGCTCTTCGTATGCACGGCGTGCAATTCCGACCTGTTCCGCGAATTTCTCACGGAGCCACTCAGTCCAGTCCTCAGCAGAATAGCCGAGTCTTGGATCAACATAGAGTGCCTCTTCTGAGAAAGTAACAATCATCTTCACGATTTTGTGCTGGAGGAAAACATCTACGAATTTACGCAAACTGTATGCCCCTCCCAGCCACATGATGCAAAACGGATCGTCACTCACTGCGGAGATCAGGCCTGCCCTAAGGGCGGCTGGATTGCAGTCGTGCAGGTAGAGCAACCGAGCGATCTCCTGGTTCCGTGGCCCTTCGGAGCTTCCACCATAGGTCCCGACAGCTAGCTGTCGTTGCTCCTTTGAACGGCCATGGTTCGGCAAGGCAGCATGCGTAAGCACGTCCTCGATGGCCAGAAACTCTCGATCGTACCCATTGCCGATGGAACTCATTGTGTAGTCCACATCGTTATCGAACCGGTGTACGATGCTTGTGTAGCCTCCTTTTGTAGCCATCTTGAGCTGCTGCCGGGCTTTGTCCAGCGCCTCTGCGTCAAGCGATGTCGTTCCCCGCTGTGTTGAAGAATCTCTGGTCATTTCATGAATGACCTCCTCCGGTGTAAGCTGGGAACGTGGCTTGCCCGCAGCGGCGGCGGCTGCCTCTTCAGCGAACCAGCGAGCTGAACGCGCTTTCTTGCGTGCGTTCTGCTGAGAAGGCTTCACGATGTGCACGCCACAGCTCAAGCATATCATCTGTCCCACAAGGTGTTGAGTACCGCAGTGAGGACATGCCCTGTGGCGGCCACCCGTAACGGGGGCTGGAGGGAGAGCCAAAGGAGTCGATTCTGGCTGAGGCGGTGCCTGCTCGAACATCGGCTCGATCTTGATCTCCTCCTCCTTTTTCACATCGCCTTCTTCAGGCTCGATCTCGATCTCGACTTCAACGGGATCTTCCGGCTCGAGGAAACGGACACGCTTTCTGGACTCAGTCGGTGCCTCCGGTGGAGAAGCACCCCCCTGGTCCAATGTTGTGGTTTCCTCCGGAAGGAAGTCGGATGCTGTGGCGTCGTTGAGTGCAAGAGGTTCTGGCGATGATGCTGGTGGTGCCACCTCAACCTCAACTTCGACCATAGGCTCGTCTGCTGTTGCAGACGCTGTTGTCTCGACCTCTTCATGGCCACCACTAAGTGGGGCTGAAGGTTCCTCCGGTACATCGGGGAACTGTTCCGGCTCAGCTGCTCCAGGATCGACAATGGGATCCTGGGCAGTTTCCGGGATGATGGTGTCCTCTTCCTCGCTGGACTGTCGCGACCACAGAATGATGCCTTTGATCGTGTCCCTGATGTAGAGCACACAAGATCCTGGCACTGGGTCGCGCGTGAGTATGCCTTCGGAAGTTGTTTCAAACAGGTAGGCATAGCGGTTCACCTCCTGAGTGTCGAGAACAACTTCATAAGGAAGGTTTGCTCGGCTGCCAGCTTTATTCTCAAGCTCGCTCAGCGTGGCCTTCGCGAAGTAGTTGTGAAACTTCCCGCTCCGGTTGAAGCCAGCTGTGAAGCCAGTAGAGAGAATATTGAAAGCTGAATCGTGCGTGGTTCGATGATACAGGCGTGGGGGAAACTCCCCAAGAGCAAGGAATGGCCTGCCTTGATAGGCGGCTGTAGGACCAAGCTCCTCACGCGTCTCGTTCGTGAACCAATGCAGAGCAATCGAGGAATCAGTCACCTGATCTTTGATGCGTTCGCTGTGACCGTGCGACGCACAAATCCACGACGGCCAAATGTCCGTCTCGACGAAGTCAGCACGTGGATCGGTGGGGAGGCCTGCCAAGTTAAACCTCGATTTGTTATCGTAGGCGACTATGGACAAGATACCTCGAGTTCCCAGATCCACACGGTGCTTCTTCCACATGTGCTGAATGAGGTCTTGGATGCGTACCCATTTGCCTCGCCGTGAGCTGAGCTTCACGTTCGACCCTCGGACAGCACCTGTGAGGTAGCGCTCAACATAGGGTTTGAGGCCTAACTCAGGGAGGTGGTCCTTCGGGATCGAATCGGGGAGGATCTGAACGATCTCGCTCCCCTCAGGATCCTCCGGACACACATCTTCATCGACGAAGCCACACATCTCCATCAGGTCCAAGTCGTCTTGGAATTTCACCCCAATGTAGTCGTGTGGGCGAGCCCTTAAAAGGCCGCTGGAAGGGTCCCGGTCCTTCTTGGTCATGCCCTCTTTCGCAGCAGACAGAGTACGGTGTGACTCAGTGCGATAAGGGATGGCCTCGATGACATCGTCAAAGGACACCTCCGGTACGTCGCGAGATGATGCACTGCCAGATAGGCCACCACTACGTGGGGCTGGATCCTTTCGCTCAGCACGGGCACGTGCTTCCGCCTGCTCTTTTGCACGCTTTTGCGCCTGTTCGCGAGCTGTGGCCCATTCCCAATTCAGGACATCCTGAGGTACCTCACGCATTCCAGTGACCGGGAGATCAGGTGGAGGAACATAAGGGGATTCCCATGGGTCAGGGCATTCATTTGCAGCTTCGCGAATCTCGGCCTGCCTTAAAAGGCGGCGGGAGAGCTGGGACCGATACAGCGCCTTGTCGAAGACATACTGCATGGAATATACCCGCGTTCCTTCTGGGTCGAAGGGGAAACGGCGGGCCAGCTCATCCAGCGTCTCTGAGGGCATCTTTGCGAATAAGTGGTCAGCTTGACACACTTTAATCCGCTGCCCGATAACAGAGGCCAAGGCTGCGCGATGCGTAGAGTCCTCGCGGAAGTGGTAGTGGTCGTGCTTTGGGATCTGGCATACGCTTTCTTTGAGCGAAGCGGTGTATAACCCCCTGCTCCTTGCGTATCCGAGGAATTTTCGGATAGCTGTTCTGTATTCCGCTGGCAGCCCATAGTCCAGTGGGTCGGCATCCGAGAGGATTTGTATCGACCCAACTGTTGGCCTGCCCTGAAGGGCGGCTAGACGGCCGATTTCACCGCACACACGTGCGGCAATGTCCGCCCAGATCCCTTCCGCGGCAACGCCTTCAGGACCAATCTGCCAGTGTGGCGTTCCTGGGTCGACGAAGACACCTCTGCGACCGCACAGTTCGTTGCCCATCCACACAACAACGATATCGACCTCGAGATGCAAGGGATTTAACGATTCGTTGATGATCTGCGGCAAGAGCGTGTGAACTGCCTCAACGATCGAGTGGAGGTTGCCTCCCCAAATCGCCTTTTGCCGGACATTCGTGTATTGCTGAAGGATATGACCAGGCCCCGTCAGAGCTTTAAAGTCTTCCGCCATCTCAACGAATGTTCTCGCCCCAGCCTTGAAAATGAGGGTAGAGTCGGAAACAATGATGCAGGCTTTTTCACGGCCACGGCTATCGCCGGGCTGGAAACGCGACAACCCCTCGTCGTTGATCCGTGCCACCTTAGGGAGGGCCTTATAGCCATGATCAACATCTCCCAGACACGTAGACAAAGCGGTTTGCGCGATTGCGCCTGTGTAGAGCTGTTTCACGCTCTCTTCCCAGTCACGGTCTGGGTTGAGTCCGAGCTCGTGTCCGAAGACACCGGCCCACATATGGTAGTGAGCCCACTCCCGCTTGATTGAGTCACCCGATGCGGCAATCGTCGCTGGCGCCGACGGCTTGTTCTCGCCTTCTGCTCGCACTCGGGGATCACTAATCATCTCTGGCGTGCTCTGATGAGCCGCTGCACAGGGGCAGGCA